CCTGCTGAGGGTCCCTTGGCAGTGGTTGGCTTTGCCCTTTGGTTCTAAAACTCTCCACTAACTCTTTCCTCAGTATGAGAGATGACACTTAAGTAGACTTTATAAAAGTTTCAGCTTTGGTCAGAGGACTAACTGACTGACTGGCCCCATGGGCCTTGTCACACAGGAATCTGCCCTGCTGCTAGATTGGCACCAATGACTCAACAGAGCAGCAGCAAAGAGAACTGGGCTTTAATCTGTATTTTCCAAATCAGGCACTGAACTGAGTTGAAGGGACTAATGGGCAAGTGAGAGGTGCTATAGAATGAAGGGGTGCTTCTGTGGTCTTTCCACATCTATATTAGAGCAAAAGCCAGGCCTGCAACAGTCTAGTAATTCTGTCTTTAAACCCAACTCAGAGTAGATCTTCTTTCCTTTCTACATGGTCTTCAATGCTATATCCAGCCTGCACTGCCTTAGCATCGTGTCCCACTACAGTACATGTTGTGTTGAATGAAGTAGCTGGCAGGATCAGTCCCCTACTGCAGGTATCACCACCAAGACTTCCGCCACTGGGCACAGTTGATCCACCCATGTCCTTTAACAACATGCACTGTGCTATGTAAAGCTGTGACATCCCCTGTGCCCTGTCTGAGCCCTGGTAGCTGACTAGCTGCTACAATATCTTCCCTCTGATAAAACATAGGGCATTCTACTGCAGAGCAAGGCCATGCCTTGTTTTTCCAAGGATTGTATCCTCACCACCTGCCTATTCATCCCATTTCTGCTGCTGGTGGAAGTCTCTAAACACCTTACTCCCTGCTCTACCTCTGCACTGACTACTGCTTCCTTGAGCACTGAATTTGCTTAGAATGCAGGGAAAATAGTAAAATGCAGTTAACCTTACCATGCCTGTTGAGCTGTCCTCCGGCACCACTTCAGTAGGACACATCCACCTCCCACAGTTTAACTCGGGGCTAGTTTCTAAACCATGCTGACAGGTCATATTCCACCCCCACTTTCCTTTTTCCTGCCCTGTCCCTTAACCTACAGGCTCTCTACTCTGCTCCTGGTCTGGCTTAGTTGCTTTAACTCAGGGGCAGGCAAAATGCAGCCTGCGGGCTGGATGTGGCCCTCCAGGCCATTTTATCTGGCCCACAGGGCCCCTAAATATTAATTTTCTAAATTTTTTATCTGCTGCCGGTCATGTGGCCTTTGCTGGCTTACCAAAACTCAGTAAGTGGCCCTCTGCCCAAAATAACTGCCCGACCCTGCTTTAAATGATCTTCATTTTAGATGCTGGGGAGACAGTCCTTAGGATTCCCTGCTGGCCCTGGAGGCAAGGGGGTAGCTACACACATACCTCGTTTATCACTTTCCATCCTGCCACTGAATGAATTGGCTGTTCTACAGGAGAAAGCCCGCCCTGCCCTCAGCATAGCCCACTGAGCTGAGACAGCTTCAATTCCTCTCCTCAGCAATTTTCATGCTAAGAAACATGGTAAAAGGGTGTGGGTTGTATTATTCTCCCTTAAATGGCTTCTCATCTTGCTAAGCCCATCATGGGGATGGGCTTATGTTCCTGTACTGGGGTGTTAGATCACTTAATGGAAACTGAAAAGTCTTAATAAAAAGTTACTACATCAAGCATCTGGCTCCTGCACTTTGTCTTAATTTACTTGTAGTAAGTGGCTCTGATAGGATGATTTCCATTTTGTACTCCTTACCCTTAAAAAGAGTAAATATTATGCAGTAAGGTCAACGTTTAAGACTCAGGCTACACAGATGTGTCCTGGATGGCTTATGCAGGCACTTGTGAGGATTCTCTTCTAGTCAGCAAGTTTTTCAGGAGATATTCCTTAAGTGTCCTCAACACTGCCATTTTCAGTACTGGTTCAGCCCCAGAGCCAAAAGCCTCTGTGTATGTGTGTGAGAGAGCTACTGACATTTTAACCACGTCAATTTGACCTAATAGCTACATGATGTGGCATATCTGCAACCATACAAAGGCTCATCTTAGCTACACCTTCCAGAGTTGCCAGCATTATAGCAGTGGAAATTGGTCTTTGACTAATTGCAGCAGCAGCCTTAAGCTCAGCTGCAGCAGTTAGAGCTCCTGCAGAGTGGGGCAGGTTCAGCAAGCTTCTGCTCCATCCCAAAGTGAGAGAACTCAGTTCTGAGGACAGAAATAACGAAAGCACTGGAAGCTTTGTTCCTAGCAGTGACAAGTTCATTAGTCTGCCCCTACAGTCTACTCACTTGGCTGCTTCGTGTGTGGGCTAACAGCTGCCCGTACCCCAAGGAACAGTCACTGTCATTAGCTACAGCCCTTCACTCAGGGCAGAGACAAGCAAGGATGTTAACTAGGGTTTCTCACCAAGGCCCTCCCAGATGCTAGCTCTGACACAGCTGCACAGGTTTGTGGAAGGGCATTATGAACCCTGCAGCAGGTGAATGTCCCACTTGACAAATCCAGCTACAACTGCCTGCAAGTTTACTGTGCCTCCAACTTCAGTGTCTTGCCTGCTCAAGAAGTGATAACCATCAGTGGAGAAAGGGTCAGCAAAGTTCCACGCCCAGCCACACAGAACCAACACCTACCTAGTGCTGTCGGGCAGGGGCTGAGACACAGGAGACTAATGTATTATCCAGGGACAACAGCTGCACTTCAACTTACCTCTACAGACCTGATTAAGAGCACATAGCCCTTCAAACCACTCACTCAGTCTCTATGAGTAGAGTAGCTCCAGTCAGCTTTGCCAGTTCCTATTAATGGGAACAAGCAACTTCCTCCTTTTACTCCCCATTGCTCAGATTATCTGCCTCCATTCCTTCTTCAGTTTTACTGCCACAACACTTCAAGAAGCTCAGATCCCTCCCACCCATGTTGTTGCCTGCCCCCCCCGCACCAGCCAATGTATGCCTCTGATGCTGAGGCCTAGTTTGACTCCGAGATAACTAGCAGCCTTCAGGTTATAGCAGGGAAGGACACCTTCACCAGTTAGTCATTCCTCCCAATCCTGCTCTTCACTCTTGCGCTAGAGGCAGGTTCCATGACTGACAGGGAGCAGTAGGCATGCTTGTTTAGTCATGTTGTCACACTTCCATCCAGCTCAAGCTTACTCTCTGCTCTTCCTCATTTTTGCAGGGGAGCAATTCCTCATTTCTGCAGGAAGGTACTGAGTCCAACGCCGTCAAATTTTCAACAGCATAGGATCCTTTGCTTCTGTGAGTAGAGACCACAGTGGCCCTGCAAGAATTCCCCACCAGAAGCAGCACAGAAGCATTATGGGCAGCAGATGCCTCTGCCACAGAAATATTGCTGAGCTGAGGAGACTTATACCCTCCTACTGAATGTTGCTGATAAGTTCCTGAGAACCCACAGCAAGGGATACCCTACCTTGATCGCTACCGTAGCCATGTCAGGCCCCAGGTGCTCCCAGATCCCCATTCAGTCACAATTCATCCATTCAGTTTCCATCTTGTTTGGGGTCTCTGTGGTCAAAGACCCCCCAACATGGTCACTTGGCTCACAAGAGGAAAAGACTGCAAACCCTGAGAATAAAGATATGCTTCCCCCCCTTTAATGCAAACTCCTATGGAGCCCAGTGCAACAGCCCAATCCGACATTCCTCCCAGGAGCCGACAGAACAGCATCAGTTCTCGGAGCTACTGTGGTCACCGGTTTCATCCTTCACTTCCAACAGGCTGCTCTCATCAATGTTCTCCAGAGAAGCAGCACGTTGGAGTGCCAAGTCTGCCACTGCCATGGTAGGAAGCTTGTTCTGCTCAGGGTACAGCCAGGGCTTCATGCCCACGTCATGTTGCTGTTTCCAGGACGGATATTTCACACAGGCCTTGTGCAATTTCTTCAGCATCTGACAAAAGCAAGAAAGGGAAACAACACTTAGGAAGATCCCAAACCAATTGCTGTAGGGACCTCCTACTCCCATTTTCTTAAGGTACTTGTCACTTGAAGCTAACTCCATGTCCCCGTTTTATGCCTTAACCATCCTTGTTAGTTCCCCCAACTTTGTCACAGAGCCTCACTGCATCAGGAATGCTGAACCCCTGGATTCAAGGTCAGTTAGTTACAAGCTGCTTGCATGGTACTCTGTCATGAGCATCCAAGGAGGTAGCTGGTGATGTTTTTTTTCATTTCAGGTGCAGCAGAAGTCAGCTGCTGACAAGATGCTGAACTAGCTGGGCCTGCATATTCTGGCATCCCAAGGTGTTTGGAACATGTTGTTCCTCAAGCTGCTTAGGACTGTGCCAGGAAGTTAGGAGCCCATATTCCACAATCCAGAACAAGCTAGTGAATTGTTCTCAACAGCCAACCCCATGCGCAAACTCTTAAGGCCAATTCTCAGTACTCCACAACCCAAAAACTCTCACTCACCCTTGGTGCTAGGTACTGGGAAGATTTATTTACAACCCATTTCGGCAATGACCCTAAAGACATGGAGAAACAAAATTGTTAGTGAGCTGTGGCAGAAAAATGCCACACTACCACCAGGATCCAGACAAAAACATGATCCTAGAATAGGTCAGTAGCTTGGAAGCAGGACTCTGCTGAAAGAAAATAGGTATTCTTTCTGCCCTCTGTTACAGAGCAATGTTTCTGCTTACCTGGCCCACAGCTTGTCCCACCCCACTGCTCAGCTACAGGTGAGGCAGAGCCAGACTTACCTTTGGGGTCCACCTGAGCCAGGTAAGTCAGGGTGCAGCTGGTTGGCCCAGTGGGATGAACCAGATATCCGGCTAAGACTGAAACTGCCCTTACCAGGTCCTTGCGTGGAGGATATTGCTACAAGGGGGAAATCAGACACTCAGACATGTTCCAGCTTCTCCCCCCACCTCAGCTGCTATGCTGTAAAGCAAGGCAACTGGACTAGTTAGAAGCCCAAACATGGCATACGGCTTGCATGGAGTTAGTTGTGGAGCCAGGATCTGGTCACAATAAAAGTCCCAGCATGCCCAGGGACAGACATAGGCTGCTCAGCTACATATTTGCTAATACAATACAGTTCAGGTTTATGGCAGTCAGAGCCACACGCTGCTCAATGACTCATATCCCAAAAAACCTACCTGGCTAGCAATCGACTCAGAAGGTACTCAAGCAGGCACCACCGAGAATCCCACAGGAGGAGTCATCCATACATCAGCGGACTCCCCTCCGTCCCTATCTTATGCTGTCACTCACCGGATGTTTGACAGAAAAGTTGATGATCATGTAGCAGTTATCCAGGACCTGCCAGGATCGCAGTGTCACCACATCTCTGTTCTTTAAGGGCTTTGGGCACTTCCCTGGCCAAGAAGGAAAGAGTCACTTCACCTCATCAAGCAACAGAAGCTCCTGAAAGTGCAGTCCTGAGGATGCGCCATCCCATTAAGGGGCTTCTATCTTTCCTGCTGTTGCCTTTCAGGTGAGGTTAGCAGTCTGTGTCCTGCTACCAATGCCTCCCATATCCCATACTGGCCCCATTGGCACTAACTGGTCCCTTTGTTAGTAGCCTTAGCTGAAGGTCTCAGGATGAACTGGGCACCGGGGATCAAACTCCTTTTCGTGGTTAGAGAGCCGCAGGCAGTGCAAGCAAACTCTGTTGCTGCCCAGCGCTGTTTATTTCAGGCATATGTGGCGAATTCAACCTCGGCCCCTTCCCACTCGGTAGATTTGGTTGGATGCTCCGCTCATTAGCATGAGTTTTCAGTTGCCTGGGTTGGTCCTACCACCTGCAAAGCTCAGCCACTCACTCACAGGCATAGTAACCCACGTCAGCATTGATGGCAAGCTGGGCAATGTCATGTGTGTCAATGACATTCAGGTCCCACTTCCTGCGATACTCAATGTCATGCAGCACGTCATACACTGTCTCTGCTGGCACATCTGAGACATCCAGGCGGCACTGCAGGCAGAAGCACGACCACAGTCAGGACACTGGCTGGCCGCATCTGCTTCTATTCCACATCCCACCCCATCAGCACAGCTGGCCTGGACTAGATCAGTGGTTCTCAACCTTGTTGAACTCCAGACAGACCACCAAAAAAGGGGAAAGTTAAGACCTGGCTTTTTTTTTTTTGGACTATGGAAAAATAACAGAGCAGTTTTACTGTTGTGCAGAACCCCAGGAAACTCCAGCAGCTCCGAACATTTTTGCCACTATGGATTCTGAATGGGAAATCTCCGGGTTTATTGCAAATGATGTGCAGTCACCTAGCAGTGGGCCCAACAGCGCCCTTACAGCAATCCTGCACGTCCTGGTTGAGCATCCCTGGCTTAGACACTGCAGAGAGGATTTCTTTGGGGCCAGCTGGGCTCCCACCTTTGAGAAACCAAGTAGCCTGGGCTCATGGCCGGCTGTCAGCCGCTAGCACTTCGCCTCCCGCTCCCCCAAACAGTGCTTCGCTAGCATCAGTCTGCCAAGGCCTTCCCTGTTCCATAGGGCAGGGTGGGGCAGACGGTGCCAGAAAGGGAAGCATGGAGGTGACGGACGGGCACTGACGCACTTGCCGCACCCGAGTCCCGCTCCACCCACAGCGCAAACCGGGCAGCAGCACCGACAGGCTCCCAGGTTCCTTATTCCAGGGGACCCTCCCCGGCTCCTCGTGCGCCTCCTCCACAACGCGTTTCCCCTCCCAAGGGAGCGATGGTTGCTGTGCTTTCCCCTGCCGCAGCCAAGCCGCCCGGGTCTTGCTGACCGAGAGAGCCAAGGCTCGTACTGGGGGCGCCCGCCCCGCTCCAGGTCCGGGCTGCGCACTTGCGTCGGGGGCGGGGATCCGCACTCACCTTGATGCGGTGCACGGCGGGGCCGCCCGGCGACGGCGGCTGCACCCACACGGCGACACCGTCGCGGCTGTAGCG